GGATGGATGGATGGATGGATGGATGGATGGATGGATGGATGGATGGATGGATGGATGGATGGATGGATGAACAATAACAGGGTGAAACTTGTTGTTTTTTGAACACTTCAGATTATATATTTTAGAAAATGAAGTAAAACTCCAGCACTGAAAGAGAATAACTGTTGTTTTTTTCTAAATCTGGAATAAAATCCATCCATTTAACAAAGGTTTTATCAGTAATTTTAGAAACTGCAGATTTAAAGTCGTTTAAAGTGAGAATGAATCAGATTATCCCGAGGAGACCCTGTGAAGAGTTGAAGAAGAGGACCAAAGAGATGWGCCTGACTGTGGGCCCCACCCTCACTGTGGAATCAGGATGTTGGACTCAGGGGCAGGGCGCTGCGGGCCTGTTAAATATTCACCACAGCTGTAATAATTATTAACCTTCCACCAGCTCGTCGGCTCTTAAACCGCCCGCCGCACCTCGCTGCCATTGCTCCGCCAGTCTTCTGCAGACTCTTCCATCGACAAGCTGCTCCTCCTTTACCTGCTGTTAGCTGTCAGCACCTGTGTCTCTGTCCTTCTCTGGTCCAGCAGGTTCTTCTGATGAGGTTTCAACTCATTAGAAAAAAAAAAAAAAAGCTGTGTCACGACACCCGGCTGCTCTCCAAACCTTTGGCCTCCTCTGTGAAATCCACCGAGCCGCGTTCACTGAAGGTGAGTAAAAACCTCATGAAGTGGAACGTTTCATGACTAAGTGGGACGGACTGAGCGTATCTTTRCAGGAAAGTTCATGTTTTTGATTGAAATCAGTGGGAACAGTTTACTTCCTGACAGCTCCAAATGATTTCAGTTTTTTATGCTTCATGTCTTTACTTGCAGACAGAAAGGGACGGGTAAGAAATAAGACTTTTTGAGGGTCTTAATCAACTCTAAGCCACTTGTTTTCAGTGGAAATGTAAGCAGGAAGCACAGGGCCTGCAGGTACACAGGTCAGACACACCCTTGTAACTCGCCCTCATGTTGACAGCGACCATAAAATCTGTTATCTGCACCAGGCCTTGGCCCTTTGGCCGCGCTGTTGGAGGAGCGATGATGATGCYGTTTATACTTCAGGCTGTAAAAACTGGGAGGAGGAAACAGTCGGGTCAAAGTCGCTGCAGAAGAGGAGACTCATCCCATTCTGAAGCTGCAGCCTCCGAACCAAGACCGACCTTTCTCTGCTCCTCGACTCCGAGGTGGGAAGTGGACGAAACGCCACTGCTGTCGTGGTCGTCTGGTGCTCGCTGGATGTAACAGCAACTCCATGTGGAAGCTGTGTCTGTTCCAGTGGAGGTGCTGTTACCTGCAGAGAGCGACCAATCGCAGCGTGAGGCCCGCACACGTTTCCCKGCAGATCTCTGCCCCCGAACGTGTCGGGTTGAAGTAGACGAGTGATGGGGCACGAGGTGATGACCTATGAATTGACAGCCAGTTGTCTGAAACGTCTGCCTGTCAGTTCTGTAGGCCACTGCTGCGTTTGTCCCTCTGACGCAAATCTGTCGCTTTTACAAAGCTTTATGTTTTATAATAAAAACAATGTTTTTTTATACAATAAATAAAAGATGAATCTGTCAGTCTGTGTTGTCACTTTGTCACATTCAGTCATGATAAATTTCCCTTTTGATGGTTTTGGGGAAACATTTCAAATGGAAATCGTATTAAGTGTTTGTAGATGGATCATCAGGGGTTACATTAAACTGATATTAAAAAATCTGAATTTTTTTATAAAATAAATACATTTTACCAAACAGTCACTGTTGAAACTGAATAAACATTTTAATCTTATGGACTAAGTCTCAGGTGTTCGTTCTTTATTGAGCAGGAGCTACAGAAGCTGCCATGTTTATTTAAATTTTTTTAACCAGTATAAGTCCCGCCTCCTCCCCAACCAAGGTGTCACATGGGCTGTCATTCAAGTATAAAATAAATTACAGCTCAACTTGTTAGAAAAATGTTATATGTTAAGTTATATGAATTATATWTGTCCCTCTGACGCAATATAAATGTGCGTTTTTATTTTCCACRTTGGTCTGGTTGTGGCTTCAAATTCAAGGTTCCAGTTCGAGGTCTCATTATTTACAGTCTATATGAAACCATCACGGCAGATGAAATTTCCAGGTTCTGTTTGCAGGTAGAAAAAACATTTTGAAATTCACAAGTGTTGTGTGCAAACTCTAAATCAGTGAGTCAGATTAATGATTCCAACGTTAATAAAAAAGGCCTCATCACTTCCTGTTTTTAAATTTCTCTCTTAAAAAAACACATCYTCTCATGAATTTTTAATTGTCAGAGGGTTATTTTATTATTTTATTGTCTGATGCTTTTAATTTAATTAGTTTTATTGTTTTTGTTTAAACTTTCACTTTTTTACTGAAAGAAACTCAGCTACAGAGAATAGGCTACAGATTGGGACCTAAAAGAGTCAACTCTTTTTGTTTATTTAGTAAAAATAATTAATACATCCACTGAAAATACTTGGATGATACAAGAACGTGAACACTTCCTTCCATCATGATTCAAAGAGTTGAAGCAAATGATTCGAATCCCKGAAATGAGTTAAAATTCCCATCACATGCGATTACCGGAAGTCCTGAGGACTGAATTAAATAACTCTTTTCGTGCGTACTGTTGCAAGTAGTCATTTTATTATTTTTATCATTATAATTTTTAATGAAATAATTTAAACCTATTTAATAAGTTTATCGACGGAAAAAAATAACAGAAGAAATAACAGCGACTTGCGGATGTCCGGGGAAACAGCGCCATCTAGTGGCCGAGCGGAGAACAACACTTCCCCTCTGAGCCGAGAGAACGCGGTAAAACGAGATTCGCAGGCGACAAGGGCAGCATGGCATCCGACAGCAACATGGCTAACATRAACGGGCAGCGGCCCGTCGCCCTGAACGGGGAGCCGGTCGTCAAAAGGCCGAGGGAGAGYGTCCAGCCGGACTCGAAGGAGCCCCAGAACAAAGTGACCGTKGTGCTCGGAGCGCAGTGGGGCGACGAGGGGAAAGGGAAAGTTGTTGACCTGCTCGCGATGGATGCGGACATTGTTTGCAGGTGTCAGGTACGTGCTGCCGCCTTAAGGCCACGTTTTTTATTTAGTTTATTGTCCGCACTGAACTGTGTTTCATTTATTCAAGCAAATGATCATATTTATTATCTGTAGTCACGACTTGTTCCGACAACCTCCMCTCCCGGATGTGGAGGAGCTAAACTCACGTTAGCAACGATTTCTCCTCCGTTTCTTCAGTGTCTCAGTCTGACAGACGAGTTAGTGGGAATATTCTGACTCCAAACACTGACCTGCACACGGATAAGCCTTTCCATTGAATGCAGGGTTATGTAAACCATCGACCTGTGTGGTTTTATCAGCCAGCTGTCTGTCCCTGTTCGTCCTCTCTGTGACATTTAGCTCAAATCTAATTTAGCTGTTTTGTTGCCTCATAAGAAGCTCAGTTTGTGCAGCTGGGCATCCTTGTTCTGATCCAGATGCTGTGACAGAGGATGACACAGATGCAGTCCTGTGTGTTTCGGTTCAAACCGGCCCCACATGTTTTCTGATTATTTCTATTAATTGTCATTTATTTTTGCAGGGAGGAAACAACGCAGGTCACACTGTGGTGGTGGATTCGGTGGAGTACGACTTCCACCTGCTGCCCAGCGGCGTGCTCAACAAGAAGGCCATCTCCTTCATCGGTACCAGAACACACACACACGGTTTTATTTTGTTTTCCCCAGAGAAGAGAGCGGCACGACCACAGAGATCCTAATAAAACCACAAAACACAGCAGTGTGGGGTGCTCAGCAGGTCTGTCTAGTCAGGGAAGAGGTTGTAAATCAGTTTAGCAGAAAAAGCTGATGTGTTAGCTGCTGAATGGATTTTAATAAAGTAACACATCTACAACTGTGACGAAATCTGATTGGCCAAACCCACCAGAGCTGTCGGTCACTTTGTTCGCACAAAAACAAACAGATAGTCTGCAGCGGCACAAAATTACTTTGTTAGAAGTTAAAGTTTTCTCTAAGAATATCGAGTAAAAGTCTTAACATATCTGACATTTACTGTACTTGAATATAAAAGGTAAAATCTCTGATATAAAATGCACTCAAGTATTAAAAGTACTGAGTAAAGTAAGCAGTTAAAATGTCAAAAATGGCATTTATTGGGAGGTGACATCAGAAAAAAACAGGTTTTTAGAGGTCATAATGACTATAAAGGTATATTAATGCCTGTGTTGAATAAATATGAGATGCTTCCTGTTTCAGCTGCAGATATATCTCTGCTACGGTCGTCTGAGATGTCCTGCTGGAGTTTGACGTGATCTGTGTCCTGCAGATGTGATGGATCATACAAACCATTAGGGTGTTAAAACCATGTTCAGGAAGCACAATTTATCTGGATAGTTTTTATTATTGTTTATTAATAAGCCTGTATGAAAACAACAAAATCAAATAGGAGTAATGTTTTTTTCTTGCCTTTTTGAAAAATGTAAGGAGTAGAAAGAAAGTCATCTGGAATTTAAATACAGTAGTAAAGTACAGATTTGTACAAGTGTTAGTACTTTATTTAATACAGTTGTCATAATCCTTGATGTCCTTCAAATGTTATGAAACTCTTGTAATTTTACTTTAATACAGTTCTTATATTGAAAACAGACATGTCTTTAATGTAGTGAGACTGTTTCAACGTGTTTTTATGCACATTTTGAAGTAACGCAACGTATCCAGATTTCTATTTGTGTTCTGGATGTCCCAGATTTTGAATCGACGGCACAGTTTTAGTGCGCAGAGTAGGGCTGCAAGTAACGATTATTTAAATAATCGATTAATCTGTTGATTATTTTTTCGAGTAATCAGCCAAAATCATTAAAACGCTTAATTACATGAATATGAGTAGATATAAATTAAGTTAACTCCTTAAGGATGCAAGTTATTGATGATGAATTAATCAAAAGTTGGTTTATCTTATAGATTGATTAACAATTAATCAATAAGCAGAGTTTTCTCTTGAATCAAGAGGGTCTTCCCATAAAATGATTTTTTTATTATAATCTCATGAATTAAAAAAACAGAAGCACAATAAATATTTTAACAATTTATTTTGCCAGCTGTATTAAATACTGACTAAAAAATGTGTTTCTCC